AAAGTCGATCTTGGAAGCAATTTTCTTAGCCTAAATCAGTGAGAACATTTCATACCACTCGCTATTGTTAGGCTTAGAACTCGAGCTGTTTTGTGAGCGACGACCGCTTTCACAAACGAATCCCATCATTTTTTCAACGTACGACGACTGTTCAGTCAGCTAATTTGAATTCTAACTAGAAGTATAGTACTATTAGGTACAGGTTCTGGTCTGTGAAAAAAAATATCAAGAAAAATTCTTGACCAGTAATTCAGATTAAAACCTACGACGAACGTCTTCACTTGGAAAGCAGAATCACTCTTTGTTATTCTCCATTGTTATGCATATAGTTGATACTTCATACTTGAACTGCCCGTCATCACTAGTTGTGCGGCCCCGAGCACAATCACCATTTTTCGGAGATTTGCTGGCTAAGCCATTGTGGTTCCTTGGAATCCCGAGGGCAGCCTAGCCAAGGTCTGCCCCATGCATACAATCTTCAGAATTGAAGAAGCATCTATTATTGCTCTGCTTTAATCTCCAACAGATGTTATTCGTCTATTCAGTTTCACTATCGATTGTTTCGCCGCCATAATCTTTTTTCTAGTCCCAAAAAAACGAGGTCGGGCACCGCCTCTGCCGCTCTATATGTCCCAACAATATGATAACATTCTAAGCAAAACAAAAAATGGAACAAAATTCCTTATTTCCTCATAGATTTTATGTGTCTCTAATTTAAAAAGTTGCTCAACCTGTTGAAGTGAATTCCTGAATAGCTTCGAAAAGATGGCTTAATTTTGGCGTGCCGCCTTCCTCAACCGATTGGTAAGGTTCTGATGGAAAAGGAACATAGAATCGATAGAAATACGGTAGCTATTATGGAGTATTCATAAAATAAGGCATTTTATGTTATTATCCACCTTTCGGTAACTCAAAAGGCTTTCAAAATTGATTTCAGACTTGGAATTGCAGCTGCGATTTTTATTAGCACTGCTACAAGTCAATAGTCCACTACTGTATGCCAGTTATGGTGCGATCTTGAAGCTGATTATCTACTACGACACCTAGATGGAGAGGTGTTCATCGCTCTTTCTGGACGGAGGAACAGGAGGAGGGGCTGGGACGTTTTTTATAACATGGGCTATGGTGGGTGTCCCTGCACTATTCTCTCGCTTGTGCAATCAGCGAGCGTCCAGCCGTTCCCGGCCACCATGGACTGCGGGTAAGTCCTGAGTTTTATTTCATTTAGCCTATCATCGTGTGACCAAATTTGTCTTACCGAGATAATGCTGCCTGGTTATTTGTACCTATACATTTGAAAACGGGATTGTGTAACGAGCGCAGTGGCTAGAGGTGTCCTGCAATACACACGTAGTCGTTAGTTCTATCCAGCGCCATGTTCTCACCAAACATTCCATACCTCCAGAATCGAGAAATTGGTACCAGACTTGTCCAGGAGAAGAGGGAGAATAACAGAACACTGCCTTGATGCATCCGTAGTCCACCGGAAGTCATTGTGTTGGCCAGATATGCATTAAGTTACCCGTAACAATGGTTATTAAAATCAAATACGTGCGTTATCTCCCCGAAACCGATCGATGCCGAAAGCTTTATCCTTTTATTGTTTACCCATTTGAAAAGCCTGTCGAATATTTTGTCTAAGTGCAACAGTCAGAATTCTGTAGTCGAGTACCAAAATTTACCATGTTTAGTTTGTTATCCTAGAAAATTAGCACCACTTCGAAAATGCAAATGATTTCGGATAAATATATTAGGATCTCGGTCAATATACTCATTGCTGGCAGACGGAAAGCGCTTATTGCTGTTAGTGGACTTCTAAAGGCGCTTGAATAGTGGGGAAGCTTTTGCAGACTTTGTATCCCATATTCTGCTATTTGTGCGCAAATACTCGTACTGAAAAGTTGACGACAGTTCGAACTGAAACCGGCTGACTTTCGACCCGATTGCTCTATCCTAGCTTCAGGTGCATATCTTTTTTTTTCACGTGTCGCGCTTAACATGAATTCTCAATGTTGGAATGCTGTTTGATCTAAAAGCAAGCCTGGTGTCCAAGTTCCCATTACGTTTTACGAATCGAACGCCCCATCAGATTCTCGGTATCTTTCCACAGATATATTGAATATGGATTACGCTTCAGGAACATCTGGGCCATTGTGTTCTGACATTTTTTCTTCGTAGATGCAAGTGCAGACTACTCAGTAGCAAAGCATCCATGGCTTCTGATGTGTGTTCTACATTATGCACTCGTGTGATCTTGTCCCTTCCGTTGACAGCGAAACTAAAATTATAGGTGATGTAGATATTCCTAGCGGTTTACATCCAAAGTCCTGATTGTAGTGACGCAATTGTATCATAACCGTAGTTGTTACGTAACGTTCCGTTTTATATGAGCTGGAGAATTTCCTAGAAAGAAACTATAGTAGGGATGGACTATGTTTACTACCGTGATACGGGGTGTTGCTTTTCAAGAGTGCATTCTATTATACTGAACAATCTTTTATCCTGCTTAAATAGTGTTTAGCATTTCGAAGCGTGTATTAAGATAGAAGGAATAGCAGAGCCGTATAGTTTCAGACGGAACAAGCTCCCTCTATCTTCTCTACTGTTAGATTATACATCCTCACTACTGTGCAGTGAAAGGCTCTTCCTATTTTAGTCGCCTAGTAACCACTTTTTAACGTTAAAGAATTCTAGTTGGCATATAAGTTCAAGGTGCATGATTACCAGTTGCACTGGATTTACAGCATCATTCTTGGTCGATCAGCTAAGTAAACATAATAATTGCTGCGATCTTGGACGAATCTTTGTTACGCAAGCCAGCGACCGAATCTAGTAAAGTCCTGATAGCGATTTAGCTGACCTCGAAATCCAAGGGGAGCTTCGTCCGATCACCGTTCGTCATATCAATGATAAAAAGGGACAAAAGCCCTCAAGACAATACTCAACCTAACCAAAATATGAATCCCACCGTCATTAACGCTTGTAACACGAAGAAATGAAGCGAAAAAGAGCGAAAATAACAGGGAAGGCCGCTAATACCTAGATAAGTACTACAAATTTAGACGAATGTGGGGTTGAAACCAATTCTTTGTTGTTTTGCCTACCTTTTCTTTTCAACAGCAAAAAGCTTTAGTAATATGGTACTAAAAGGTACCACGCATGTGGTAACCATATGTCACACTGAAGTAGAAGTAAAATAGGTGCTGTGCTCATGACGCTTGAACCCTGTTCATTGTGTGTTTGTAGCTAGGGAATCTTCTTTTTCAAAAAAAAGAAAATTTTCTTCTTCTTCGTTTAATGACGATGTAAAATAAATATTTGTTAGAAGTAAAAAGAACCGTTCTATATCTATCCGCAAAACTGTGGAAGATAAAGTGGACCGGAAACGTAATACATGTGAACCACAAACGAAGGACAAGAGCGTCTAGTAACTGGATTCTTCGGGATGTCAAACGTACTGCAGGAGACCCACTCACCCTATGGTCAGAGTTCTACAGGAAAGCCGTAAAAGAAAAATGTAGAGGTCAACGAACCTTTAGAGCCAGCAGAACCCACTAGGCTGCTCTTGAACTCGACAGAGATAAATGGAAGATTTACTGGCCCCCGCTCGACTCTCTTGACGACCACTACGACGAAAGGTGCACAGGTGAAGAAGAACGAGTTCACAAATAATTTCACGGTGCTATTACACACCTTCAGCTTAATGTTTTCACTAGGTAGAAGCTTTGTTAAGATCGTGAGCGGCCATCTAACATGGTGCAATAACACGAAATGAATCTTCACGAATAGATAAGGCGTTGTTTACATGATTAGATGCGTATCATAGTTGCATTTAGATCTATTAGATGCTTTCCATTCGACATTCCATTTGCTAGTAGTCTTCACCGCTGCGTCCAACATGGGTGATCCGTATGTTTGTTTTTGATTCTACCTTTTATTCATGAGGTGATGAGCCTCAAACATATGGTCACAAAATCGAAATGTAAAATGTTATTTCATATGTGGTAGCAAAAATTTGCAGTGCCCACTTTGTTTAACTGTGCTCAACCACAATGATGCTTGTAAAATATTGACTCCAGGCTAGATTCGAGCCGGTGATTACCTTTTCAGGGAGCTTATATGTTACCGACTGCACCACTGAGGCTCTTAGTTTGTATTTCTCTCAGCGAGTTTTTTACTCTAACGGTGTTACCAGCGATCGAATCTGGCCTAGCATTCAAGTTTTTCAAATACCTCAGCTCTTTGTGGTTGTATTTCACGGAACACCCTACCGTGAAACAATAATAGGCAGTAGATAAAAGGTAAACATGAACTGTACTCATTTCCCCTGAAATATTGAGATCATGCAACAGAAAAAAATACCAGCCTTGCACAACTTCTGTTTTAAGGGCACTACAGCAATTCTGGGTATTTCTTGGTTGTTGTAGTGATATCTGATTTATACAAACTTCGTCCTCTAACCTCGGCTAAAGTGGTTTTCGATAGAAAAATGTAATTAGCTGTGCTCAAAGCGCAAAATATAAAGAATGAAGGCCCGTTGTGGATTAACCATGAGGATTTGCCATGAATTCGCCTTCATCAAGAATCCTAGATGTGAAAGAATGCATATCTGGCTTGCGTTTACAACGACCTTTGGTAGCATGCCGATGTATGAAGTCAGTGGTGCAATCCTGCTAGACAATCCTGGTACTAGGTTGCCGCCCACGGAGGGATAGGCGGTATATTGAGTCCGAAGCACGGTTTCCCACCTACAACCGACCCTGTGTGCCTTGTATAGTAGTTCCTACCTCTGCTCTACACGAACCTATATCATGGCTAACGACAACTGTATTCTACTGCCATCACCAACGAAGGTTAAGAAAAAGCGATTGTTTTAAAAAGGTCAAATAATTGGGATCATCGAAACAGAAATTTTGTTGCATGTCAAATAATTTCAAATGTTAGTTAACGACTTTTGATTGACATCTCAACTTGATACACGACGCTTGAGGACTGACAAGATGGTTGAAGCTCTTATGGAGCAAGTAACTCCAGCGGCTTCAAGGACTACATCAAAGGTGACTATTATCGGAGTGGGTCAGGTAGGCATGGCATGCGCGTACAGTATATTACAGCAGGTCAGTTCTCTTGAATTAATTCCTGTTCGGAATACTTTCTCCAAATTTTATATTTATGATGTAATTAGCGCTTTATTTGGAAAACTCCAGGCTCAACATGCCAATCGGAATTTTGACTTGGATAGTCATTTAAAACCCAGAGATTATCTCTGTTCAGCTGATACGATCGTTTTTACATATTCTTGAAATTTGACGGCTGACATTTCCACTCGTCATTCTACGTGAACAGAGCAAGAGTGGTTCTACACTTAGAAAAGTGGAAACCGTTCCGAAGAAGGCGGAGTAGCCGAAACGTCAGCGAACGAATTACAGGAATTTTAAGGAAATTTTAATTTTTAATTTTAAGGAAAAAGGAAATTAAGAACAAACCCACGTCAGCCCAACAAGAGCAGTTTGTAAGATCCAATTATGTCAAGTATTACTAACGAATTTTGATTGATTTTGAGTTGATCTTGAGTAAGTTGAGGTAGTTCTTACCAATATGAATTTTTTGAACTGGTTTCCATCGTTCTCCCGCATTATGAATCCACGAGATAAAAAAACTCATCGAAGTGGAGTATGATTCTCTCTCATACGAATATGGAAAATCTTGTAAAGATTGTGTTGCAGAACATCGCCAGTGAATTGTGTCTGGTCGATGTGGTAGCTGACAAACTCAAAGGCGAGATGATGGACCTGCAACATGGCGTCACATTCACTGGTCGTTGCACCATCAATGCCGACACCGGTATGGCAGTGATCTGATCTCTCCATAGCATTGCTAAAGGAACTGAGAAGAAAATTCTGCAAAGAACTCTTTTCTAAATGACATTATATTTGTCAGACTACTCCATAACAGCTGGTTCAAAAGTCTGTGTCATAACAGCTGGCGCCCGTCAGAAAGAAGGAGAGTCACGGCTTTCACTCGTTCAGAGGAACGTTGACATCTTTAGAGGAATCGTCAAAAAACTTGTTCAGTATTCTCCTGAGACGATCTTTTTGGTGGTGTCTAATCCAGGTGTGACATTTTGACCTGGCGAAATTTCCAAATTTTTATTTCGCTATTTGTTCCATTCCTATTTGGATAGAAGTATAAACTTTAGTTGATGTGCTTACCTATGTGACATGGAAGTTATCGGGATTTCCAAAAGAACGCGTCATTGGCTCCGGTACCAACCTCGATTCGTCGAGGTAAAAGCAAAAATGCAGACGGCGTCGTATTGCAAATAGTGGAGTGATACTTTTTGTAGATTCCGCTTTTTGTTGTCGGAGAAGTTGAAAATCGCTCCGTCTTCGTGCCACGGCTGGATCATTGGAGAACACGGCGACTCGAGTGGTAATGTTTGAAAACTTTTCCTTTCCTTTTACGTTCGATTTTTAACCAACAAAGAACTCTCACACTTTTTTAAAATAAAAGGATAATATGATTACTATAACGCTGAGACATTCGCATAACTCCGGACCCCAGGTGCCTGCGGTGGGAAAGAACGCGCTATCGTCCTTTCCGGGGAGTAACGCGTTCACTACCACGCCATGCTGGTCCTTCCTTTCATCTGTCTCTCAGCTAGTTCTATCGATCTCTTGCCATCAGCTATCACCCGACAACGGTATTTATCTGGTGAACCAAATCGGCAGTGAATCCAGTTAAGCTGGGGCTATAGTTATAATCACAACCTTAACCTTTCTATTAACTGCCTATTCTTTCTAACGGCAGAGTATGTTGCGAAATATAACTACTATAATGCTGAGACATTTGTAGAACTCCGGACAGCAGGTGTCTGCGGTGGGGAACGAACGCGCTATTGTCCTTTCCGGGGAGTAACGCGTTCACTACCACACCATGCTGGTCCTTCGTTTCGCCTATCTCTCAGCGAATTCTATCGATCTAAAAGGATAATGCTTTCGGCATTGATCAGTCCCTGAGGTATGCGCCATGCATTCGACTTCATTGAGCATCGATTGGAGGTGATTGGATGCATGTCTGGCCTTTACAATGACTCGTGGTGGACTGCCGATGCATTGAGCCAGTGTTGCTATCCTTCCAGACAATTGTGGCACCAGTTCGTCGAACTCGGAATGATGGAGGGCCTAGTGGGCCAAGGGCACGGAGATCGGTTCCGTGGCAGGACGCCTCCGACCACTGGACCACACCCGCCCACACACTTCTTTAGGAAGCAATATATAGAGCTATTAATTATCGTGTAACTTGAACGTTTTAACGGATGCAGATCGTGGCGGTATTCATCACTATGGTATGGTTTTCTTCTCTCCGGCACCTTTCTTTTTTCTGTACCTTGACAAAGTTTGCAAACAAAATATACGTGACTCTTGTTATCCATGGGAAACAACGTTGAGCAATGGTCATAACCAGATTTTAAATTATGGTGGCGCTATTCATCACTACGTTTATTTTTTTTTGCTTCGGCACTTTTGTTTTTCTTTTCGTAACGAAATTTGTGGGAAAGAAATCGCCTAGAAGAATACACGGGTTTTCCTATAAAGTGCTTTCGTGTCGTAATTGTGGTACATTGATCGCTTCCACATCTTAACAGGAATAATGCAAATCAAATTTTGACCCAGCTTTTACCCACTACGACTTTTTAGTGGCAGTATGGTCCGGAGTAAATGTGGCGGGTGTTCAACTGGCAGAACTAAGTAATAATATGGATGGAAGTTTACAAACCTGGAAGCACGAAATTCACAAAAAAGTGATTGACAGGTGAAAGTCTTGAAACAACAACGTTTTCTAAAATCCTATCTGCTCTTTTCCGTTTTAAGGGAGTACAGTTCAAAGTCCCACTATTAACCTATGGCGACTGATATTTGTCAATGCCTTATCAAAACTAATAGGTCCAGCATCGTCATCGTAAAATACGCAGTAGACTAGTAGAGCCAACTGGATATCGTATGAGTGAGATAGGAGACAAAGCATTCACCTGCAGTATATACTCTCATTGTTGTTGGATTATTCATGAATTCTAAGCTTCCAGTGCCTATGAAGTCATCAAATTAAAGGGCTACACATCTTGGGCTATTGGGCTTTCAGCAGCCAAGATCGTTCAAGCAATTATAAACAACTATCGAAATGTTTTTGCTCTCTCTACGAACGTGAAGGTAACCATACAATTTACAAACGAGTCCTGCTTTTTTTGTTAGTCTTCGCAATGTGGCAACTACAGTGAGGAACTTCCAGGGACTTCATGGCATCACGGACGATGTGTTTCTCTCACTACCGTGTGTTATTGGCTCAAATGGTCTCACACACATCATCAGGCAACATCTCAACAAGGACGAGCTGAGTATGCTTCATAAAAGCTGGAAAACTCTCGTCGAAGTCCAGAATAAACTTCAGTTGTGATGGCTACGTATTCTGACTATAACGGGAATCGTTTTGTATTCCTACGTAGTAAATCTTTCCACTATGGTGTACTTAGCATTAAATTTACCCTCTACATCTGTAACGCGATGAAACGGAATAGTGAGATTTGCAGACTGTTCGATAACAGTACGTTACTGCGTGAAACCGAATAGCTTGTTGTTAATTCAAAAGACCGCCTCTCTACAAACCTTGGGATAAATAGTTAGCGTATTTATTTATATGACCTTATAAACTGGTCTTCTTGAGCTGATGCGAGGTTGCCATAAGTTTTCGTTGCCGTTGTTGTTGTTGTTGTCGCAGTCATTGTTGTTGGTGTTGTAGTCGATGGCTGACGTTTCGCCGGTTTCGCCTTCCTCAGAGTCTGGTCGTATTTTATGTAACAGTAGCCTTATATTTGGTGAATTATCTATAATATTAATGATGATCAAGCCTATAAATGAACGCCATATTGATCAAAAAGACTACTCACCGTGCTGCTAGGAATGGGACTGCCCACGAGCTGTTCACTTGGGATGGCTAGTGAAACACACCCAGTGGTCAAAAAATCATTTTGAAATAAGGCACCAGACCGCGTATGATAGTCGAGCATTCAGCTTTCCGGTTCATCTCTGCATCTTTAAAATTTATCCGGAACGCGTCAAAAGTCTAGCGCGTTAATGTTTTCGATTGCTGCGCTATGATCAAAACTTGGGTGGGTTTTGCTCACCATCCCACGTGAACACCATGCGGGCAGTCCCACTCGTAACAGCATGGTGAATATAAGCATGGTGTCTTTATAATCAACATGGCGTTTATTTATATATTTGATTTTCATTAATACTAGATATATTTAACCGAATATAGGGCTACTGTTGCATAAAATACGTCCGGGCTCTGAGAAAGGCGAAATCGCAGAAACGTCAGCTATTGACCAATTTCTTGTAACTTGTTAAGTCTCCTTCTCCATATTGTACAAACTCCAATGGTACCTCATTTGGCTGGTTGTGAAGATCCACCAATATATCTGGGGCTTCCTGGACCGCATCCTGTTTCCGACGGAGTTCCTCCTCACCGCCCCTCCTCCTCGCTTACGCTATTGTGAGGAAAATCTCGTCTACATGTTTTATTTTACTTCTTCCTGGTTGCAGCTCCTAGGAAGAATTTGAGGCTTCAAATCAATCAGCATGCAAAGCACGTAAACTGCAAGTTATGTACAAGGTAAATTATATGTAAAGAGTGATAACTCAAGACATACTTTGTGAACACACATAGATGAGCACTTAGCACATTCAAAGATAGTAGGGTTTGTAACTAATACAGAGCTACATCACAATTTTCATCGAACCAGTTTACCGTAGGAAGGAAATGGAAGAAGTGAAAAGTGTGAAAAGTCTTTGTCTTAAAGTAATTATGATCAAAATAGGGAAAAATATCCATTGCAAGAATTGGAGCTGGTATGTGAAAAATTACATTTGTATGTAGGGTAATAAAATTTTATAGATATATACATTATAAACTATATACTGTGCACTAAATGTTTCTAGGGACAATTTTGATCACATCACTTATGGCTGTAGTAAAAAAAATTCATAACTGTTTATAAAGAGCAGCCCCATCGAAGCACACTGATGAATGCACACTCTGCAAACACCTAGCCACTCTGATGAGGTGTTCTGGACGATTTGTAAACCATTATCTTAGCGAAAAGCTCTCCCCAAGTGCGGGATCCCATTGCAGCGGTGGAGGTATTTCTGCACCTCTTCACTGGCAACACTCTCTGCACCACAACTTTCTTCGGCACCAATGATTTCTTGCCTGCGAAGTGAACTCGTACAACAAGGGGCTTTTTGAGAAATTGCTAGAAGGATATCTCCCTATGGACGATGTCCGCCTCAGCATCTGCTTTGGATATGCTACCGATTGATTGCAAGAAGTCTAGGAAGAAATTTCCGTCGACCAAAATAAACCACTGGAAAGAAAATGATACATTCTTATCGACCACTCTGGCAATACCGTTATGACAACCTGAAGGTGTTACTTTCGCAAAATTGTTCGAAAATCTTTCTATCAAGCTCGTGTTTTTGTTAGCAACTGAAGTCGTCAAAATTCATCACTCAGTACCCCTCCTTTCAAGTCTCATCCTGTTGTTTCGGCCAACCACCTTCCTTCAACGATGCCTTGCTTCATAGGAAAGACGTAAGAAATGACCTCAATCGGGTCTCAGTTTCGTCGTACAACATTGAAAAGGCCAGAAACGTATGAATATTGAAATTCCAAAGTGAACATTGCAATGTTTTGAAAAGCAAAGGGTCCTTGGTATGAATGTTGAGTTTCTTCGGACTATTCTATCTGGATCTTTTTTTATCTGACCCTCAGTGCACTATTCTTCGTTTTTTACACTTCGTATGCGCTTAATATAGGAACAACAGTTGATCAACATTCTCAACAGACGGTCGTTTATCACATCATCGAGACATTTTATTAAAGATGCAACAAAAGTCAGCATTAAACCAGATGAATCTACATTCTACAGTGATGCCCACAACCGATTTTCTATTAACCTCAGTACTGATCAAATAATTCTTTATATTTTTGTTGAGCAAACGCGAGGTGTTATTCTACCCTTTATTCAGGAACAAGATGACGTTTCGGGGGATTTCGCCTTCCTCAGAGCTTGGAAAGGTCGCGTTGATCGCGATCTACCCAGCCAAACACTTCCATAACCAAAAAGAGAATGATAGGATGAATGATCTATTACAATATTAGAATGCTAAATACCAAGGTTTATCTAACATGCACAGCAAAGCTCACTGCTGACATCATAGATCACTTTCTTGGGCAGAGCTCTGTTTAGGATCGCTTCTGTTCTCAGTTAATACAGTTTAACGGCATTTATTAGGGTGTCTGAATGGGAGTTATCAAAAAATTGGACAAAAATCAATGGATAACAAAGCAAGCAGAACAAAAACACTCGTATGTGGATTCGATTTTGAAGAAACGGCTAAGAGACCGATAATCATCTAAGGTTCTTCCGAACCATTTAAAATTCGGCTCTGAAACAGTGAAGAATACCTTGACGAAACATGCTTATAGTTGCCTCTCGAGGAAGTTAATGAGATCAGTACTGCCGATGTTGTTAATTTGAGTGGCGGTACCGTCCGAAGTGTTTTATTGTGTGGTACTACAAAGGTGCGTGGTAGCAACAACGTCGATGCGTGCTGCTGCATCCCACTGCTGTCACTGCGAGTTGCGACTATTAAGAAGCACATGAACAACAACTACAAACAGCAGTTCGTTCATCGTCATCCAATGGCGAACTTCTTTTAGCCCTTATCTTGTTATTTTTATCTTCCACTTTGACCTAGTTTAACAATGTCACATTATTTCTTATTTTTGAAGTTATTTCCTTGGTATGTTGGCAAAAAGAAAGTACGAAAAAAATTATAGCAACTATTCCCAGAATAGTTTCTATTTTTTTTCTATATCTATTTTTATCTTTCTATTACTGTATGTTTCTGTAGTAAGGATCATATCTACTGTTTTTCAAGTTGCCCAGCAAATGTCTTAGTACGTCAATATTTTGGTCCCATCCTAAGGAACTTCGATCGCTATAAACAGTCTTGTTATGCAAACCCATTTTTGCAATCTGAACTCGTCGTTTGTTATTACTGTCCAAAAGTATTCAAGCGTACAATAACAAGAGGGGAATGAGGTTGTTTGCGAGAGCAGTCTTTCGCCAGATGATCTGCGGTTTTGAGAGGATCTGGAGACGGTAGTCGACGAATGTTGTCGGTAAAGATGCTGAACCTGTGCTAAATACCGCCTTCTCCAAATGCATATAAATAGTCTCGTTAATTGCTATCCTGGTTCGGCCCTGTCAGGGTTCGACAGCTTTTTAGATCCGTACCGTATTGATCTCGTGTGTCACCAATGTAGATTATCGTAGTTGTTAAGTCATACTACACGTGGTCATTATTGTACATTAACTTCATCACATCATTATTAAATTACAGTTGCGAATTGTACATTGGTTTAGCATCACCGTCACTACGTCACACTTCCCATCAGCGTAGTGTATTCTCATCCTCGTGTCAATGTTCATTGTTTATCAATTGCTCTGCGGTGCGTTGTCAGTAGCGGCGGCTATCTTCAAATGCGTTCTGTCTGCAACGCCATCGGTGGCATGTACCATTCCTCCCACACCGTACGCCGTGCCAACAAAGCCGCTGGCCGGCTATGCTGTGTATTTGTTAAGCCGCTATAGGCTTATCATTTTTCAGTCGTTATCTTTCTAGCCCATAATATCTTGGGTAATGGTGGCAGCCATCGATGCTCAAACTTCACGTTGCCGACATATCGTTATCCAAGACCAACCGCCTGGCAGTGTTCCGCAGATGACTCATCTCGTTCATTATCACTTGCACCATCAATGCTAAGCTAACTTGCTATCGTCAACGAGTAATGTGGAAGTGCACCCAACCGCTGTAGATATGATCCCAAACACAGCCTAAAACACGGCTCGTCTGTATCCCACTATTCTGTTTTTTCTAGACCTCGGCATCTAGGCGACTGTACGCGCCAGTGCGGGCGCCATCATCCGTATTCCCTTACTCGTCATTGTTACCAAGTTGCTGTTACCATAGTACTAATGCTGTAATACTATTATTTATAATACTCTTTTGCCTTTGTAAACCTCGAATCAGTAGTAGGTACAATACCTCATAGCTTTGAAGTTGCCATATTTGTGTGCCAATAGTTGTCCGTCGATATTAGTGTTGTATTGATGTTGCATTTATGTACATAAACGGTTTAATTACCCAAGTTAAAGGTATTTTCCTATGACAACTACGAAAAGTCTCGCGTGGCATCTTCTCACGAAGTCGGGCATTCTGCTATAAACTAGTGGCTATTTGGTGCCGAGAACTGACTCGTAGGCCTATTTTCGACTAGTAACTGCATTAAAAATCACTGTTCATTAACATAGAAAGAATGTTGTGATTTACAGTAAGTAATAAGTGGAACCAGATCACAGAAGATTTTATGTGTTAAAAGAAAAACACAAATTGTTCGCTACGGGGGCATAAATTTTACAGGCCTAAAGCGCTACGTTGTACAGAGTTCTTTACCTCATTGGAATAAGCTGTCACGATGAAGGACTATAGCTGAAATCAATTTACAAAGCCTAAATCAAAATTTGGCAAAACTGCTGAACGATATGGCCGAAACAATGAAAAAATTTCAAAACACATGCGGTTACTTGCTTCGAACGGGGTCAAGGTTCATCAGGGATGGCCGCCTTTACAAATGAAAGCCCTCTTGTCGTCAACGCCCGTAGAATGTTCAGTCAGTTAAATTGAATTCGAACAAGGATATAATACTATTAAGTGCGAGCTCTGCTCTATGGAACAACATAGAATAAAATACTTAAGCAATAAATAGGCGCAAAACGGATGGCGAACGTCTTCACTCAGGAACCTGAATCATTTTTGTTACTCTTAAACTTAACGGCTGTAGTCTTCACAATCGATGATCCACTTGTTATTACTTTTTCAAGTCTTCAACAGATGTTTTTCACTTATTCATTTCAACTATTCGTTGGTTTAACCCATGATCGTTCTTTCATTCCCAAAAAGCTTGGATTGGTAAAGCCTCTGAGCTCTGTTCATCCCAAGAATGAAGTATTTGCAAGGCAACAACGATACACACGAAATCCCTCATTTCTTCATGAATATTACAGTCTGTGATGAGAACAACTGAATAATCTGTTGGCTTGATCCATGAATAACTTCGAAAAGGTAGCCTAATTTTGCCCAGTCGTCTTCCGTATCGGATTTATGAGAATTTTAAAGAAAATTAACATGGGTGGGACACGAATGCGACAGCTTGTAGCAAACGTCCTTCCAACAAGACATTTTGCAATGTTTCCCACCTTCGGGTGACTCAGAATACTTTCAAATTTGATTTCAAACTTTAAATTACTGGTAGAAAATTTATTCGACCCACTAGCTAGGCAATAGTTTGCCAAGAAGCACGTACGAAGGCATAGTGCAAACTGTAGTCTGCACCTATCTGCCTGTTATGATAAGATCCAGGTACTCATTCTCCACGACGACAGCTAAATGGAGAGAGGTTGCGTGCTTGTCGCAAGGGGAGGAGAAAGAGAGGGGGCTGGAACGCTTTTTATAGGCTGCGATGTGGCCGGAGCCGCCGCATCATTCTTTCGCTTGTGCAGTCAGAGAGCGTTCTGCCGTTACCAGGAGCCATAATGGGAAAAGAGTAAGTTACAAGTTTTATTCTGTTTAAACGAGCTACAAACTTTTGACCTATTCCATTTAGCCTAATGTTAAGTATCCCTGTTTAGTTATTTATGACTATGCATCCGAAAAAAGTCTCTCAAATGTTTTTTTTAATTTACGAGAATAAGAATTCCGTAGTGGAGTATCAAAATTTACTACATTTGGTTTTTTATCTCAGAAAACTAGCACCACTTTTAAATCGCACTTGGTTTCAGATTAAAATATTGGAATCTTGGTGACAGTTCTCATTCCTGGAAGTCTCAAAGCGGTTGGTGCTGCTAGTAGACTCGAATTGCCATCATCTTTTGGAGCATTGGAGGAGGTTCTTCAATCCTGGTCTTCATATCCCGCGTTCTATTCTACTCCTACTGAAAACTTGACGACAATATGAACGGGAGCTGGCCGACAATCGATTCAGTTGCTGGCTGCTAGCTTAATCTGCATATCGTTTTCACGATTCTCGTTAAGTGTGAATTCGCAATCTTAGAATGCTTCGTTGAACGAATGTGAAAGTTAGACATTTAATTTCGACTTAGAAACGTTTTACAAGTTAGATGCTTCATTAGGCTCTCAGTGGCTTTTCCTAGTAATATCAAATGTGGATTACGCTTCAGGAGCACCTGCACCGCCCCAGTCTTACATTTTATCACCTTAGGTGCAAGAGCGGACTACTCAGTAACAAAGCATCCGTGGCTTCTGCTGTGTATTCTACGTTATGCACTGATATAAATTCCTTCTCTACAACTGATAGGGAAACTATAATTATAGGTGACGTAGATGTGTTCTCAGGGAAATTCATCCGAAGCGCAGATTTTAATGACACATCTGTGTATACAATCTGAGAAATTACTAGAAAGGGTAGCTATAGCAGTGATGGCTAAAGTTCAGCACCAATCCGCTAAGCGGCTTCTGGTCGAAATCGAACGCTTTTCGGAGATCCGTTGTCGTACGAAGACGATTTCGCAACACCTGCGATGACGATGATGCAGCCGTTTTCGTTTCTGATGATGCAATTGCTCCACGGCTGTCGACTGACACACTCGTTGCCATCGATTTTGTTCCTAGAAAAAAAGCCTGAAAGTGCACGTGCGGTGGTGGGAATGATGAATTATTGGGTCTATTTGTAAAGTTCCTCGTGTGTTTCGACTGCACTTCATTGGTAACAGTTCACCTCTACATTAAAGACAAAGTGATGAATTTCTTTTCAGTCGTATCGGATTTTGGCATGAAGTTGTAAAAGGACGCATGTAGTCGTATGTTAGCTTGGGATGACTACTAATACGCACTTGATTATTGGCTCGATCCTAAGCTACAAGCTAACCAACCAGACTTATTTGGGTGGGTAAGATATAAAGATTCGATACATGGGAGGTTAAGTACTGTATAAACCAAATGTGCAGTCGGTCATCATTCGTTGGGCTTCGTGAAGTCGACGCACTTGTAGGAAATTGTTTAGCAACAAACGCTTCGCGTTGTATTTTCGTCAGTAATCATTTCTCGGCTGCTCACGATCGAGTCGAATCACCCTGGTTCTGATGAAGGTGAAGGCGCTGAAACGTTAGTCATGTAAAAGTTTTCCTAGTAACCTCGCGTTAGTTTAATTGTTCAGGAAAGTATTGATTAATTATGCTGGGCTTCGAAAGAAGTCGATTTCTAAAATAGTTTTGCACTATGTGCCAGCTTTAGGGGCGTGTGGCGCAGTGGTCGGACGCGCTCCGCAATGCACACATGAGATCGATCCATGTGCCCTTGGCTCACTAAGCCTTCCATCCCTCCGGGGTCAGCAAATTGGTACCAGACTTATCTGGAAGGATTGCTACACTGCCTCAATACATCAGTAGACCACCGCGAGTTACTGTAGAGACCAAATATGCATTCAGTCACTTCCAACGATGCTTAATGAAGTCGAATGCATGACGCATCCCTCCGGGATTGATCAATGCAGAGAGCTTTATGCTTTTATCCTTTTTGTGTGCCAGCCTTAGCTATGTTTCTTCATTAATAAGCTAACATGAAGTGGAGAAAAACTTTATTCGGCTGAAATTGTAAACTATAGTGAAAATAATTTGCGTATCCAAAAACAAGTCGCAGTTGTTGGCCGTCGCGTGCTGTCACCAGCAGTCGCCTGTTGTCGCTAGTCGCCGCCAGTCCGCGCGGCCGGCCTACTCGGGCATCTGCTCGTTCCACTAGCCGCCGTCGTAGTTCATCGATTGCGGTTGTTCTGCCGCTATCACCGTTGTCCCCGATCCCGTCACCAGCTGATTTTCTGCTTATTCTGTCCAATTTTTATTAGTTTCGACTTGAGATAAGCAAATGGCAGCTTGGTAATAGGTTTCGATGTTTAGTTTCGTAAAGTCCTCTTAGAAAACTGTTCGGTCCGGGCTTGATCGCTTCACCGGGTCATCGCCGACGTTCACTTATTTCTTCCTTCCTAAGCATAATTGCTGTCGAGAATGGGAATAGTAGTCTCAAGTGTTGGTTGACTACGGCTTCAAGCATGTGATTCGTAACTTCGTCGAGTTTTAGGCATTCTGAGTAGTAATACTTCTTTTGTCCAATCAGTTGACACTGATTGTTTCGAATTCGATATCTATTTAATAGTAATTAATAATAATAATAAATAAAATATTAATATATAATAATATAATATAATATAATATAATAATATAATATGTAATAATAATATAATAATAATATAATATAATAATATATATAATATAATAATGTATAATATAATATAATATAATATAATATAATATAATATATATAATAATGTATAATATAATATAGTATAATATATATAATAATATAATATAATAATATAATATATATAATATAATATAATATATATAATATATAATATAATAATATAATATATATAATATATTACCAACTAGTCATAAGGCCGAAAAGAAACCCACTTCCTCCATGGGGCTGAGCTTATTTTTATCCTGATTGGACCACATAACCTTTTCAGTATTCAGTACTCAGTACTTTTATCCTGGATGGGTTACATAAGATTTTCAGTACTCAGGACTATTGCTCAAATTCCATTAATTTCAGTTTTTTTTTTAGTACGGCAGTTCCCAAAGCTGCACTTATTTCCTGTGTCTTAATCTCTTTTTCGTTTCCATCTTTTATTTCTGTTTTTGAGTACAAAGGTCCAGAGCACTATATTTCTCTTAAAGAGTCTTCCTAAAACCAGCTGCTTGCAATTTTTTGCACCTCTAATTTAAAATTCGCGACATATTTAAAGTCGAAGTAGGAAAAATTCGCTTTTTACTAACATACAGCGTCCCAAAGTGTATAGAATCGAGTGAGATTCTGAGTTTTATGGAAACTTCCAGCGTATCGATTGTTTTCCATAAGGTCATCGTGGCACGAGAACAAGAGTCAGTCGTTTGAGCCGAGGCTGAAGTGTAGAATCTCATTGGTTCACTCAGAAGGAAAGGGAAAGTACCAGAGTATGCAAGGACTGGCATCCTTATCTGACAGGAAGCTGATTAAGTGAAGTGGCCCGTTCACCTTGAACATCAGCCGTCAGCCTTATTTACACAGCACTGCACTCAGTCAAGTTGACCGACTGTCACAAGCTGCTCGTCATCCCGACTCGTCTTGTTGATTTTTGCCGGAAGGGCTTTAGATTGAGTGGTATTTTGTGTTCTTGACCATATTTTCTTCCAGTGAATTGGTGCATCTCTTGCCTTAATCGAGTCATGCAGAATGATGTTCTAAAACAACAAGATCGCTTTCATTATTCTCGATAGGACTGTTGCACTTGGATGTGTCAGGATAACGGTGTGAGGTTTCTGGTTGAATTTTGCAATAGATATTTGAGGCATGCATTGTCAACGTATGCCATTCTAAAGCTTATTTCTTGCTTAACTTTTTCGTGTGTGACACCTTCTCTGGAACTTGGTGGTTGAAATTACGTTCTCAAATCGTGAAAATGCTCTGGTTTTTCTTCCTGAGTTTAGATTCAGTAGGGCAATGGTAAGGAACTCAAAATATTATAGGAACATAGGCCAAGGAAGGGTTTAACGAAACCATAATGTAAAGGTTTCGTAATGAAAATATGAATCTTCATAAAGAAGAAGGTCGAGTGCAATCATCAGGAACTGAAGGCGATTGTCTGAAGGCGACCATCGAAACCTCCGCTCCAGAGACTGCTTGAAAAGTTGTGGAAAAACTCAACATACAAGGTAGACCTGGCTCGACACGAAGGCGAAGCTGCAACGTCGAGACGAACAACAATCATGGAACATCGACTCGGATCATCGGCTCTGAGGAGGACGAAGACGTCGAAACGTTAGCCGAAAATAAACATCATTATCAATCTCGTGTAAGGTCATCAAAGAAAGAATACATATCAACATACAAGGGTAAACAACCATTATGAATCCATTGGATTCGCAGAAAAAGCTTGATAAATGAGTGCCGAATGATTTGAATGAATGACACCAGTACTGTCCATTGGAAGCCTGTTCTACACTTTTACAGCACAAAGACGATCATTTCTCGATCGCGTTATGACGATGACTTGCGATGTAAAGTGTATTATATACGACAACGGACGACATTCAGCAGGGAAGATTGGATAAGTTGAGACTCGTGTACATTTTCCAGCGTCGAGATAGCACCAGAAGATGGTTATGTCGACTCTGTTGTTTTCTGGAGATGGAATCATTTAATAGAACGCTTTTAATGTCTTTAATCTTGGAAAAACGATCACAGTACTGAAAAAATGTTACACTATCGATGAAATCCTTCAAAATCTGAAGTATATGTGCTCAGATTTGGCCAGAAGTAGAAGTAAATCGTCTTAGGTGGCTACTCTCGACCACACGTTGCAAAACAAGCACTCCAAAAGCTGAGTGAGTTCTCTGGCAGAGTAGTCAGGCTACGAAACCCTGCCTCATCCATAGTAATGGAGCAAACACGTGTGGATTCCAATAGCTATTATTTTGTTTAATAAAATGTCGCATGAGCTGACGTTTCACAGATTCAAAGTTGCAAGTCAGAAATGGCTGTTATTTCTCTATCCGGCTAGCGAATCGTTAGCCGAAATTGTTCTTTCCATTATCGTTTCAACGTGTTTCAGTACAAACCAGATTTTTTGTCCCATTACTTTGCAACACTAACACTTTAAAATCTTGGATTTCTGATTTTTCCAATTTCGTTGAGGATATGAGTTTTTGGGAAAGTTTTCGGGCAAAATTCCAAGTAAGGTACTAGTTTCTTAGACTTTTACTGTTTGTTTTTTTAATAAATTATAGTCGATATTATAACTAGAACAACTAAAAACAAGGTGAGCAAGAACTGAAATACTTTGGGCCATGGTTGGAAAGAAATTTGGGATATACCTTCTTTGGAGAGAGCTCACCACAATTAGGTTATAATTATTCGCTTACATAAGTGTTGTGCTAATGTATTCCGGAGTTGTACAGCTATTGTGGATTTCTCTGTCTCTCTAGAACCAGTCATTGTATTGTAGAAGACGAAATATTTTTAAAAAGGAAGGTGATTTATGTACGATTCCGTTTTTGCGTAATGTTTTCGGTCAGCAGTCTTATTCATTTCAGTATGGCAGCTACTGTCCACGAAGTTTTTGAGGAAATCGCTCCAATAGCCCCTACTGCTCATGGAAAGGTGACAGTGGTCGGTGTAGGCCAAGTTGGAATGGCCTGTGCTTACAGTATCCTACAGCAGGTATGTATTATTATGTATTAGAAATTTCGCAGTACCTGGGTTACAGCAGCGCTGAAATGTCATGTGGATAAATGGTTCTACCAAAATGAGTATTTCATTGGAAGTTTCAATTGTTCGTTTTTAGGGCCCTGTTTTGTAAATTAATCTGGCTATGCATTTCTACATTTTTGGCATTTACAGATTTGCATTATCCTTGGTGAAGTGTTTCTATTGTTGCGCTCAGCCTGCTATATGGATTGGCGCAAGTTAGAGGCTCCCTGCAGTTCACATAGGATCGATCCCCGCGCCCGTGGCTCACGAAGCCTTCCATCCTTCTGGGGTCGACTAATTGGTACCATATTTGTCTGGGAGGATAGCATCACTAGGTTGGTACAACGGCAGACTACCGCGAGGCCAGATATGCATTCATTCACCTCCAATGATTCTTAATAAAGTCGAATTCATGGCGCATCTGTCAGGAATTGATCAACATCGAGAGCTTTATCATTTAATCATTTAAGTATAAAACGACAATGTTTCCCGAAGGAAAAAAGAGACGGGTCTATTGTTGTTTCCTGTTTCAATGCCACTGTAATGGTCTTCTTCTTTTTTTGGTATTTTGGACTACAAGTCTCGATTTTGTCTCTGATCAACCAGAGAATTAGGTTAGCGCTCTCAACTGGGTAGGCATTTGTCATCACAACGAAATAGTTTAAATTTCTGTGTTTTTGCATCTAACCAGTTTTTTGGAGTGATCATTGTTGTAGTTGTAGTCATCGCTTTACAAAATGGTCTTAACAACCGTGATTTTACTACTTTTTACGGGTAGACATCGAAAGTTCTCCCGAAATGAACTTTAACCCGTTTAATGTTGTCAAGGTATCAAGATTGGATCGAACTGAGATATGTTAATTAGAATATGAAAGCTGCCATTATTTTCAGATTGTATGTTTCTTATTTTTTCCCTAGGTGAAACCATCGAATTCAGTTAAGGCCGTGTATCAATATTTAAATTTTTCTTATTTGGGCTTTGTGGGTATAGTCGAACAAAGTTTTTGGAATAAAGCGACTATTGGGTGGTCAGTTGTGATCGGATTTACTTTACTTCCTTATTTTATTTTATATGAGCCGTCTTCACGTCTGCTGTGGGTCCCAGCATTTCTCACATTTGATTGCAGGATCGAGTCCGCAGTGTACTCGTGATGGTTGGTATCACTACCACTGTTCTATCCCTTCCCCTCTGACATACTTTATACGCATGTTGATAGGCTCTAATGAAGTTATTATCACATGTCAAAGCCAGTCGCTGATGGCTCTTATTCAATGTCCTATCTTGACAACATTAAACTGTGACGAAGAAGAAATCGTAGCGTTATGGACTTGGAGAGGTCCTACAAAGAGGACCACACATTCTTTAAGGTCATCATTGGAGATTTTAACGCTAAGATTGGACCCAGAAGAACGTCCGAAGAACTTAACACTAGACCCACGTATTAGAATTCAACGAGCAGGGTAAGCTGCTATCTGAATTTATCATGATGACCAAGACCATTCATGGTAACTCGAAATTCCAGAAGACCCACTTTCAACGATGGACGTGGGAGTCTCCCAATGGAGAGCATCATAACGAAATAGATAACATCGCAGTAAATCGGAGGCGTTGCCTAACTGATGTCGCTGTAGTTCCAAAATTGTACATCAAATCGGACCATCACCTCCTTTGTGCAAGATTTTATTTGTCATGGAAAGGAGAAAAAGCCGCTAACTTCAAAAAACGAAATCCCAAAACCATCATAAACTGGGATTTATTCAATTCATTAATGGTTTGTTGGAAAGGTACCCTTCTGGATAATATCGACGAGGAATACGGTCGGCTGATTAAACATCTTCCATTGCCGCTGTGAAAGCTGAGAGTTTCAATGTCATCAAGAGACGTCTGTCTCCAGAAGCACTCGAACTGGTACGCCAGCGTGAAATCGCATGAGCTGCAGGCAAGCGCAAACTCGCGTCCGAACTTGCAAAACAAAGCAGACAGGAGCGAAACAAAACAAAGCGAGGAAAGGAGACAAAGGAAGATCTTAAAGAGAGAAAAGCAGCAGTCACGATCGAAGCTGCAAAGGGTGAAAAAAGCATTCGCCAAGCCTACCGAAGCTTCACCAATTACTAAGCTAAGATTCTTGCACTCCGACATCCTGGCGGAACAGTTACGGCGTCCAGAGGGGCACTGAAGAAAATCACTCACGATTAGTACCTAGATCTCTTTGAGCCATGTCCTTTTGTTTCTATGTGAAATAAAGGAGGATGGCATGTCGTACCACCGGTCCTTTCCGAATTTCGACGTGCTATTTCGTGGGTGAAAAATAGGTCTGAGCATCTGAAGGTCCTTCTGCCAGTCCTCGTAAACACATTGGGTCGGCTCTTCACACGTCCCTTGTGTTAATGCAATATCTCTACTCGGTGGAAGTTCATCAAGATCGTGATATTGTTCAAGAAGGGTGACCACGATATCGGCAGCTATCACCCAATCTGCTTGCTATCTGCCGTCTACAAACTTTTCACTCGATTCATCCTAAACTAGGTTGACAGAACACTGGATTAAGAACAGCTATGTTAGCAAGCAGGGTTTGAAAAAGGATTCAGGATGATGAGCCACACGAGAGTACAAAAGACTGCTCTATCTCACTTTCATCAATTTAAAGAAGCCGTTTGATTCAATTGAGATGAAAGCAGTGATGGAAGCTCTTGATAGTCAGGAAGTCTCTACTCCGCATATAAGGATTCTTCATGAACTGTATAAAAATTTCACAACCAAGATATCGCCATTCTACAACGATAGTAACATTGATGTCAAAAGAGGGCTTAGGCAAGGTGATACCATCTAGCCAAAATTATTTACCACCTCTCTCGATAACGTCATACGAACACTGGAATACAATATGTGAGTGGAAATCGATGGCTGGCAATTAAATCATGTTGGATCTGCTGATGGCATCGTGCTTATAACACCAAACATTAGCCAGCGGAGTGTATGCTTGCCGACTTCGATAGAACCTGTGGAAAAATTAGTCTCTTGCTAAATCTCACAAAAATTGTGTTTATGAGGAATGGAGTGGTTTCGTATGGCCCATTCACACTCAGCGGAATGAGTATCTCCGAATGCTCCACTTACATCTGTCTAAGTCGGCAGATTAACGTGATGAACGATTTAGCTCCGGAGTTGAGCAAAAGGAGACGAGCGGCTTGGGGAGGTTTCAAGATCATTGAGGCTGTAGTGAAGAGAACGAAGAGCACTCAGCTATGTGCCTATTTTTTCGACTCCACGACACCTCCTACCTTAACATATGTGTCAGAAACCTAGTTGCTGACAATTTCCACATTCTTAATTTTCTCGTTAGCGCTGAGAGTATGGCGCTCGTTCTTACATTGTTAATTTTCTTTTTCGTATCTGAGAAAGCTTTGAACCATTGTCAGATGAGATACCCGGCACGAAACACTCCAATAACACGAGCTACGATTTAATGTGATCTCTGCTGCAGAATCACTGTTCAAATCTGGAGTTCTGTCGACTCAACTTCATGCATATTTCTTGATATGGTAGATATGGTCATTCTTGTGAAAAACGTAAAGAGTGCCCTAAAGAAGCAAATCGGACAGCAATTGCGAGGACTCTTTCACTCATTGTCTTTGAGTAGAACGATCGTCCTCGATGCTCTACAGGATTTTGAGGATGACTTATTATGAAGAATTGATATTTGGTTTGTGAAGAATGCTTGTCGTTTGTGGGTTGCAACTCCAAGTCCGTTGATATGTTATGTTACTAGGAGTACTCTGCTAATGCTTTTCGTCGCAATTTCGGCCTCAGAGCTAGGAGTTGTGGGTGATTTTCATGTAGATAGCGAATGGAACGTCAGTTGTTGGTCGGAAAACATTGGAGTTTAACTTTTGCTTCATGAATTCTATATCATGTTAGAGAATATTGTGATCCAATTTCGTCGATCAGTGCTCGTAGCGAGAGGATCCTAGTAGCATTTTTTACACTCTTTCGTTTCCGTGTCTGTGCTAGAAGTATTAGTACAAAACTCAGCACTACAATAATCTCCTATAGCTGACATTTATTACCGGCCAAGTTATGTGTGTTTAAGTCAAGTCCAGTTTTCTTTTCTTATCGAATTCATTGTTCATTATAAAAATGCAATCCAAACTTCTGGACTACAAAACGAAGGCGTTTTGAGTGCAACTTAGAAGTGTTCCGACGAGCAGCTCGAATTCTTTGGTTTTGGTTGAAAGTTCGGAGTGGTCTGCGGGATTTAGAACAGTGTGATGGTCGGCCCTAGAGTACACTGCCCCAGACTTTTCTGTGTATATGGAAGAATTTTCGCTCGACGTTGGTTAAGTGGCTAGCCAGTAAACAGGTACTAGTAATCGTTTACGGCACTCTGTGTAGGATGGCATTGTATTCACGGGAAGAGTCAAAAGAGAACGGGAAATCTAATCAGGTTTACTGTGCGGGGAAGAATTATAGAAAGAAAAAAAGGATGGATTTATACGATGAGAAGAAATGTTCCGCTGGTCATCCAAATTTTTTTGTATTGTCGGGTTACGACCGTCATCGATAATGGTTCCATCGAGCCCTACCTTTTCCATTAGCGTTGCAACAGGTTAGCTGTGCGTACTACTCGCGTCCTGATGCACAGCTATCCTCCGTTCAGAAATACTGCGTATCCAATTAATATGCATTGTATAATATTTGTAGAGCATCATGCTCTCATGGTCAGGCTAGGTTAGCTTCCACTACTGTATGCGCACTTCTTCGTAGAATTATAATATTATGTTGCTCGGCAGCATAACAGTATAACACCTTGATCAACGGAAGCAGAAGATTTCAATTTATCATTCTATTCGAGAACAATGTTTGGTTCCAATTTCTTCTACTCGAAGAACTTATTTTCTAGCCTTTTTGCCATCAATTTCTTACAGAGCATCGCGAATGAGATCTGCCTAGTGGATGTGGTGCCGGATAAACTGAAGGGCGAGATGATGGACCTTCAACATGGCCTCGCCTTTACCAGACACTGTGTTGTGAAAGCAGACACAGGTTTAAATTAAAAGTATCTCAATGTGCTTGCATTTTATTTTTAAACATGGAGTGATTTATTTGTATAGAAATGAGAATGGTCTTTTTTTATGAGGTATAAGAATCTCATATGTTTCTCCTATGTAGGAACGATTGCTGTTTTTAACACTTTCATCGTTGTTGATCTTTGCAACCCCAATAATCCTCTGATCCTCACTGAAAGGTTTTATGAGAACTAATTTGTCCTAAATTTCAGACTATTCGATTACTGCTGGGTCGAAGATCTGTGTAATCACAGCAGGAGCTCGTCAAAGGGAGGGTGAGACACGTCTCTCGCTCGTCCAGAGAAATGTGGAAATTTTCAAAGGAATCGTGCCGAAGCTTGTTCAATACTCGCCGGACACTATCATTATGGTGGTTTCCAATCCAGGTAGAGCGCCGAATTTTCTATTTCAAACATATTGCCATTCATAGCGGTAGGTGACAGTAATAAAAAAGGACTGTCAGTGATGTAGGATCGTTATGTTGACTTTGAAGAGCCACACAGCTGAAATAAGAAGCCTTTGCCTTGGTTAGTGAATGCCATTCCTTGTTCAATGGACATCTTTCCAAATAGAAACTTGATTGATTTGAGGGACAGCTGAGGGTACCAGGGAACTATCAGGGTACTCTGCTTTCTCCTGAGAAGTATTATTATTTGATTTAAGGCTGCGGCAAAGATAGGTCGCTGTGCCGCCTACATTGCGATTCTTCCTATACTTGTTACTTGTCCACCCTCACTGTTTGTGCGTGCTCCAGCATAATCACCACTTTTCGGAGATTTGCTGGTTAAGCCATTGTAGTTCCCTGAAATCCCGAGGTTAGCCTGGCTATAGTCTGCCCCAGGTCTTCATCACTACAGTCAGCCGCAACCCTTGTGGATCAGAGGGAGATTTTCCATCAAGCGACTTTGATACCAGGACGGTGGTGGATCCTGGTATTGGTTTACTTTTAGCAAAGCTTCCTGATGGAAACGCCGGACTCCTTCTCAGCTTAGGAGATCCTGCCGGGGAGACGAATTCTCCTGTTGTACATCGCAGTCCGATACCCAGGAACACATCCGAGCCACGATGAGGCGGTAAACCGTTGGGAGGGATTCTTCTTATAGCATCCACAAAACAGTGACTACGAAAAAGAGCAAAAACTTTAAATTGAAAATTGCTTGTTGTCATCTAGGTTTTTGACTTTGAAATATTATGGTAGATATCAGAGCTAAATGCACAAGGGCGCGTGCGACGCAGTGGTAGAAGGCGCTCTGCAATACACATGGGATGATTGATCCCCGCACCTATGGCTCACCAAGCCTTACATACCTCCGGGTTCGGGAAATTGGTACCAGACTTATCTGGGAGAACAGCAGCATTGGCCACTGGCTCGATACATAGGTAGGCCACTGCGAGTCATTGTAAAGGCGAGATTCGCAAACAGTCACCTCCAACGATGTTTGATGAAGTCGAATGCATGGCGTATCTCTCAGGGATTGATCGACGTCGAAAACTTTATCCTTTTATCACTTATCAAAGTTAAATAGTCTTCCCTAAAGTGTAGTCTCCTTTTGCTGTTTACGACTTTCACACTGTGCTGGCTTTTCAATAATTGTTTAAAAAATTCTCAGCAGCGACAGTATTTGTTGATGGAAACTTAGTAGACTTACAAAAGAGGCTTCCCTGATATCGTTTGAAGACGACATATGGTTTTCTAAAGTATTGTTTTAAATACGTTTAAAATCCAAATTTGAAGAACTTATTAGTGCGATAGCCTCTCAAATTTATGGTGCGGTCTGCATCAGTTCTGGGCAAAATCACATATACTGAACTGCTTTGATATTCGAAATGCGGCTTTAGACGTGAAAGAAGATGATTTGTGGGTTTCAAAGATCCGGAATTCCATCGTCGTAAAATTAATGGTGTTTTGTCTGATTGGAGAAACATCTTTAGATTTAAAGTGTTTTTGTTTCAGCTCATAACACTGCTTTCATGTTAAGGTACGTATGCTCAAATTGAGAGGCTAAACCACTTTCAACATTCATGAGGCATAAATGACTCATATTCTGGCGATTGATTTATATTCCCAGTGCTGTTAAGCTTTGAATAGCAGCACATTCACTTGTCCTTAATGTTGCCTAAGTGCGCAATGTATTCTAACGCTGAAGTTTTCTTTAAACGTTATTTGTTTTTTCATCTACTGAAACATGACCGCAATCGGTTACAAATTTGAGTATAATCAAGCCATTTGTTGAATTGCGTATCGTTTCAGTTGATGTGCTCACCTATGTTACCTGGAAACTTTCTGGCCTACCGAAGGAGCGTGTGTTCGGTTCAGGAACCAATCTCGATTCGGCCAGGTGTGTGCACTTGCTTTATGTCCTTCCCAGCTTTGTGGTCTGCATATCGTGGTGACCGTCTAGAGTTGGTTGTTATTGAAACCACCATTGAAAGTACAGGTCGGTGAAGACCGCGCAAGTAGAAATGAATATGGAAACAGATGCGTGGTGCTGTTGTTCAGAGGAACTACCCCGTTCATGGTCGTCATAAAGCCGACGTCCTGTCGAAAATTAAAACATGTCAGAAACTGACAAGCAGTTTCGTTCTAATTACAGATATGTTTTAAAGAAAGACATTTGTTTATAGCCTCATTCATAACGAGGTTAATTGGACAAAAAAAAATCTTTCGGTAATTGGTGCAGAGTTTTCTCGAAAAAGGAAAATTGTAACTTCGTGGTTGCTTTCCATTCATGGTAATGCCCTATTTTGAATGGAATTTTTGAACAAATGCGAGTTATATTAAGGTCGCTCTGTATGTATGTATCTGGTCGATGTTCATAGTATTTTCCGACTTTCCATTATAGATTCCGTTTCCTGCTTTCGCAGAAACTGAACATTGCTCCGTCATCATGCCATGGATGGATCATTGGAGAACATGGTGATTCCAGCGGTGTGTTCTGTTCATCTGGTTCTAGGCTTCTGAGAATTGTGATACGTGATGCTAATTTTATATTTCAGTGGCCGTTTGGTCTGGAGTAAACGTTGCCGGCGTGACGTTATCGAATGTGAAACCTGAGATCGGAAGTACAAAAGATAGCGAGCATTGGGAGCAGGAAATTCATAAGAAGGTTATAGACAGGTAAAGACACTTAAGGTGATGCTGCTATCACCTGGGAAGCATTTGTAAGGGCAGTATCTATTGTCGTGGAGTTCTCTCTGCTCATCAATCATCGGCTGTTTTTGTCTGTGGCGGGCCCATTTGTGCTGCTACTTAGATATGTCGGTTCCGAAAACTCAAGAAGATTTATCCAAGAAGTGAAGTGCTGAAGCTCTGCTTGAGGTTATGGGTGGTGGATATTTTTCAGAAGACATCGATTAGATGTTTTTTAGATTATACACAAAGTCCTTCACGTTGTTTAGTTTGGCTTGGCTCTGTACTACATAGCAAAGAACTTAGAGAACTATTGAGTCCAACAATTGGGCGCGGAGTTATCAGTTTATCAGTGGGTCGTAGTTCTTCATGAAGTCAGAACTCGGCTCAGTTATTTAGCCGAGAATATTTTATTTCAAGGCATTACTGAATACAGGAATGTTTGCGTAGTCAGTTATCTTTGTAGATATCTATCATAAAACCATCTTAGAAACGAAAATTTTCGCTATGTGCTCATGTTGTAAAATGATTTAGTTTATCAGTTGTCTTTCAGTGCTTATGAAATCATCAAACTCAAGGGATACACGTCATGGGCAATTGGTTTATCGGTGGCTAAGATTGTGCAGGGCATCATGACCAATTCTAGGAATGTTTTTGCCTTGTCCACTAATGTCAAGGTGAGCTGATCTTGTTTATCAACGGTAGTATGCAACGCTATTGTTTAAGCCGTTGATTACAGCTAAGGAATAGCTAGAATTCCCTTCTAACACTTTAATCATGTTGATAGGGGTAATCTATGATGGCAAAGAATGATTAGGAGAAAAGGGAATCATGTGTTTTAGAACGAGACCAGTTGGACATTACGTTCCGACTTTCCACATCTTGGAAAGTTTGAGTTGTGTAGTGCTGAGTTGATTGCGTGTTGACGGTAGATACCGTGCAATCGCGCTATAGATAATGTCTAGTAGGGACTCTTACAAATCGACGTGATTGGTGATAGGCTGGCCTGATGTGCTGTACTTCTCTAACGTTGAAATGACTATAGTCGTTTAGTTGGAGTGTGTCGATCTTTATTTTTGGTATCCTGTAAATCGATCACGTGAAAAATAATGTCATCTACGATGCTTAGGAAAGTAGAAAAATGGGTAACTATTCTGACATTGAAGCAAGAAACCCTTCTTTAGATTGTGATGTTGTTCATTCTTATTGAGGGGGTAGACGGAGCGTTTCAGGACACACGATAGTGAGACAAGAGTGAGAGCTGATTTTTTGTCTGAAGTCCCAGTGTAGAATTGCTCAAAAGTCTTCAAGTAGTGGTCGCTGACCTTCTCGAATCGAAGCGAGGTTGCGACCTTGCAGATGGGCTTCAACTGTTGTGCCAACTGCTATTTTACTCTTACCTAGGCTTCAGCGTCGAAATGTCCAAATTCTTCCCACTACTCTATCAAGTGGCGATCTCCTTGGTCAACGGTGAATGTCTCGTTATCTGAAAGAATGAGCTTTGAAAAGTTCCTTCCTTCAAAACTTCTGGAAACCGTGATAATGGAAAGAAAAATAAAGTACTAGGACAGAGAGAAAGGAACAAAAATTAGTGTCATTTTCTGCAAATGAAAGTGGAAATTCGAGGTTGAGTACTGTTTTCCTTTTGTACGAGTCTAACCAACCCAAATCCTCACTGTCTATCATTTGCAGGGTTTCCATGGTATAACAGAAGATGTATATCTGTCGCTTCCTGTAGTACTTGGATCGAATGGCCTCACGCATGTTGTGAAACAGAACCTGAATTCTGTCGAGGTGCAACAATTGCATGAAAGCAGTAATGCCTTGCTCCAAGTCCAGCGTAGTCTCGTTATCTGATTGTCTCCGTCGTTGTTTTTTTTATAGTTAATAGTAGCATAATTGTGTGTCAGAAATGAATTGGAGCCAATTCAAATAAGTTATCTCAATTTTGCATAATAAGTAAAAAATTTCATTTTTTGACCGAATAAGATTGGTTTCCTTGTACATTTCTGTTTGTTATACCGTTTCCGTTGCTGGCCAAAGCGTGGTAACGTGTTCCAGTTAATAGGCAAGGAAACATGGAGAGAGATCCACGAAAGGAAAGCATACATTAGCAATAATCTCCGGCAATTTTTCTTACTCTTGTTGAGCAAACGCGAGGTGTTATTTTATTCTTTATTCACGAACATGCTGACGTTTCGGCGGATTTCGCCTCCCTCAGACCCTGGAAAGGTCAAGTTGACAGCAACCTATTCGGCCAAACACCTCCATAGCCAAACAGAGAAAATGCTAAACCAAAATTTCAATCGCACTGAACACGCAGTCTTTTCACACTCACCGCTTTCTGTGAGTCTTCCACTAAATGTATCACGTGGAGACCAAACGCATAGAGTTCACACGGAATCGTATTGCGCCCATCTCATCAAAATAGCAGGCTTATATACTGCTCAATATCACGCGTGATAATGAGGCATTCCTCCCTGCGGTTTTTCGGATTCTTGGAATTAATCCTGAATGCCTCTAGAGTTTTGCGCGCTTGTATTCTCGATTCTTGCGCGAGAATCGTAACCCCTACTTCAAAATCTTCTCCGTTATGTCTCTGCGTCCTATGCGTGCCCAGTGAAGCATTTGGTTTACGTTTGCCGACTAGATGTTCTTTTATACGTATGCAGCGTTGTCTACCCGTTTCGCCAACGTATTCGTCTCCGCACGCTTTACAAAAGATCAGATAGACTGTACCCGAGTTCATGAAGTCACCGTCTCTACCATTAGGGCAAATTATGCAGTTTTGCGCTGCACATAGACGGTCGTATAGGCGGTTACGAACTAGCTGGCGCCCGCGATTGCTCGGTGGTATTTCAATCATTGTTACCGAGTTCTTTAGACCGGCCCCTTCTTAAACAGCGTTTTATAGCTGCACTTACTTCATTTGAAATGAAGGGCAGTATGAACGGGACCTTATTGTCGCTAGAATTATTGTTGGGGTACCTGTGGTTTCCTCTACACCTATCTCGAGCTACAGTTTCGTAGCCATTAAAAATGGCTGTTTGTCGCGCCAAGTTCCGGGACTCTTCTCTCTGCTGTCTTCCTGTGCACACGCTGTTAGCTGTTCGAAACATGTTTCTCACAGGCGCCCTTTTCGTGTGGGAGGGTGAGAGGAGAGGTAATGAACCAAGATGTTTTTACAACTTGGCTTTCGGTACCACTTCGTAATGTAGCCATTTTCTGACAGGTTAATTTGGACGTTCAAGTGTGGAAGCTAGTTTTCTTTCGGTTTCTCTCGGATGAATATCTACAGTAGAGTAACGGCCCGAGATCGGTCACTGGTGCTTTCACCTTAGACATAAACTCAATGGCAGGACTTGGTGCCAGTCGTTCTCCCATTGCCAAAGATGGGTTGGAATGTCTTTCAACAACTGGATAAATATTGTTAAAAAACACGTTACCCTATCCGTTGGCCCATCTACGCGGCTAATGTGGATCGGTAGACGGAAGATCATCGCTGGATACTAATTTATGAGTTTTCATAAGCAACTACAAGACGGGACATATTGGTAAGTCAACTTTTAGTTGGGAGATAACTGACGGTTTTAAACCAGCAGCCTTTGCCATTTTGACCCATTCGTGGTTCAATTTTCGGTATTTACTTTTAAATTCCTTCTCAGATGATGGGCGATAAAGCGAAGCATCTTCAAGATGCTTTTTCGTTATCTCCACATCTAACTGATGAGGAATTACGACAAACTCTCCACCCATATCACTTACGGAAAGTCTTATGGTTTTCAACCTTATCAGGTCTCGTACCTCTTGCATACCACGTTTTTGCACTGGAGTGAGGTTGGAGCTGTATCTTTTCGCGCGATAGTGATTAAGGAGTTTGAGAGTTTCATTCGCAAACATCCGAAATTTAACATCAACTTCATTATTGGGCTCTTGTTGTCTAAAGAACGTCGGGGGAAATGGTGCTATTGGTAGGGCCCCCACTTGATGTTGTTCGCACCTATTTTGCATTTCATCTCCAACTTTTTTTGCGGAGTCTATCTCGAAGTTCGTGTAAACTACACGCGACACTACGCAAGGTTACCTTAGAAATGGATTGAGATGGTGAGAAACTCGGTCCCAATTCTAATAACGAGCACGCACCGTCAAGGAGGGTCATGCCTCCTAACACGGCCTAGCCTTGAATTTTTTTCCACATTATTTATCCTACTGTCTCTAGTGATAATCTCTGGTATAGTTGGTAAATATGCTGTTGGTTGTAACAAATCGATAATTTCCACCACTCGGTGTATGTCTTTTCGATGTTGTCGATTTTGAAAGGTAGTTTTTGATAGTTATTATCTAAGTAGTAAGTAATAATCCATTCTGCATTAGCTGGATTAATATAAGCTGGCATATTGCAAAGCACTAATCCCATCAGCGACTTTCATCTGGCTTTAACGTGGATAATCGATGTTTTGTTTTATTTATAAGCTCACACAAGGATAGAGTACAAAGCAGGACGCTATCGATATAAATGTATCCGACTGGGAGAAAATTGTTGTTAGCGGGTGTAAGTCGTGGGAAGGTATTCTGATGATTTCAAAAAGTGTCAAATGAGTCTGAAACTTTGTTGTCTCCAAGTAATACGGTGAATTATGGTTGAGTTGGTGGAATTATGACGACCACAGAAGTTATTCGGTAATTCGAATAAAATTCTACAACTTCGAAGAAAATCAACAGTGGCGATGATGCCTCTTTCAATGCTAAGAATTTTTTGTGCTTAGAATACTGTTGTATTTTATCGATCTTTTCAGTACAGAGGATTATCACGAAAATAGTCGAATAGTGACTTTACATCTGATGAGAAAACGTTTATTTCGTATTCTGCAGAACAGCAGACGAATTTTCTTTTACGCGGAATTTAATGACATGTGAATGGTTGCTCTTCTTGTATAACGAAAGTCGGGTATATTCAATGTCTAAGTTCTCAGAGCAATCCTACTTGGAATTGTTCAGTTTGGTAGAAACTGCAGGCCTCTCTCTTCACTTCATATCAAGTTATCTACGGAATGGTTGGCTACAGTTACTTATCGCCTTACTGGTCCCTGATGTAGTTGTTGCGGAGCATGGTCATCTCAGGAACTTCCACTGAGCAGGAACTCTTCGTTTTGCAAGAGCAGGAAATCCTGTTTTATCTTAACAATGTGTACCTTTCTCGAAACCTAAAGCACTAAGTTGCTTCAGAGAAAACAACTTCTCAATAGCACTACAAATTCAAGAGACTCAAAAACTATTTGCGTAACATTCCGTGGAATAACAGGATAAAGATGAGAAGATAGGAAAGAAAGAAGGCAAAGGCTTATCAATTTTGCAGTTGTAATACATGATAGGATTTGGCTTGCTACATCGTGTTTCTAAAAAAAGCTGTCATCGAGTCTCACATCGCCAATTTGTAATGGGATCTCCAGTTCCCAGATATCGAAATATGCGTGGAAACTGAAAGCATCGTTCATTACAACTTACTGGAGTTGGCTAGCAGATGCTTTTCGAATCAATTCGACCATCGTTTTTTCCCTTAAAGAGATCTCTTTTTTTTGAAAGGAGAACATTGGAAGGTTGTCTCCAAAGTCTTGGAGGTTTTATGTTTCTGAACTGTGTCGCTTTGCTTTCAAGTAAACACTGCCGTCTTATTTTCCACTGAATTATTTTCATAAGCGTTTAGTTTATACACTTGATATCACATGTTACGCGGTTTCCAGCATTTCTTGCAATCGACTCGTTTCCTCACATTTAAAATCCATGAAATTCTTTGAGGTGTTTGCATGTGAGCTTGGATGATGCTAGAAGATTCTTAGTCTTCGTCACGAATGTCGTTAAATGCTGGTTGGGTCGATTCTTCGTGGAGTTCTAGGATATTGTGCTAAGACGTTCGCACGCAGATTGGACGAAGTGAGGTGATTCCAGAGAAGCCTGCTACCAATTTGCCGACCGCTGATGGTTGGCAGACCTCGTCGCTCAAGACTGAAGCCTATAATGAACATAAACAATACCACAGCGCTGGGCGCTACGTAATAAAAATGCGAAAAAGCGAATTTAAGCAATCTACTTTACGATTTCGAACTTTGACGTGAAACCATAGAAGTCGCTATCGATGTTAATGGGACAAGGAATCATTATAGATTGTATACCATTCTCTGTTTTTAAAGTACTGCTATGGAAATGAGTGCTTTGAAGAAAACATTGAGGACGACGCGATGTCTCGACAAGTGGGTATTTAGAGAGATGGCTTCTAACGACGCATTTGCCTGGAAAACGCCAATTTGGAAAAATTGTGTGGTTAATTTGAAGCCAGAAAAGAGGAACTTCGGTGACAACCGAGCTAGTGATAGTACTCGGCGACGTTTGGTGTAGATCCTTTCACCGGGGTTCGATGAGCTGCTATGAGAACTACGCTGTCCAAATAAAGAATTGCTAAATGCCTTGTCTAGATCAGGAATCTTAAATCTAGACGGGATGAATGCCCGGAGGTCATACGCGACCTGGTCCCGTATGTTCGCATCGATTTTTGCTGTGCCATGGTGCAACCATATGCGACTATAATCAGCTGTTCTAAACTTCCTCATAGGAAGTCACGAAAAAGCGGTGGGTGTTTCGAGAAGATGTTGATCATGTAATTACCATAGAGTTTTTCGTCTTTTTGTAAGTGTTATTGAAGCGTTTGGCCTAGTAGATTGTATATCAGAATACCCTTCCAGGCTCTGAAGAAGGCGATACTGCCGAAACGTCAGCTAGCGTTGTATTGTATTGTATTTTTTATGGAAGTAAATGTATGCTGTTTAAAAACCTCGCGATTGCTGAACAAGAAAACGACGCAT